ATTGTCGTGAACACCTGCCTTCAGAGAATCACTGTCCCCTGGTGTTTCCATAGCGTGCATATTACATAGTCCGCAGGATCATGGCGGCACGAAAGTCCAACCACCACGACAAGGTGAAACTTTTAGGCTGGGCAGTCGCTGGGACCCAAATCTGAACCAATCAAAGTGCACGCAGATGACCGATCGGCTTAACTGCGACTTGTTAGTCTCGTGTTTGCGGACGACTTCAAAATATGGGCGGTAGCCGGTAGTTCTGGTGGTGTCGAACTTCTTGAAACGACATTGAAATTCCTCCTCAACAGAACCCGTCCACCATTTGTTACAAATGCAATCGCTCAGGCGTCCTCAACCGGTTGTTGTGTTTCTTGTTAATAGTAACTACCTGATTTAATAAGATCGATCTCAAATCTTGTCGATCAGATCTCAAATCTATCGAAGGAAGGTAGCTACCGCTATATTAGGATATTAGATCATTTGGCTAAATGCTTCTGAGGATCTTTCGCGCTGTCTTCAGTACGTGCAGTAGACTGCTTTTGGAATATAATCAACATTATGCAATCCCACTTGCCATTAGGGTGGCTAAGATGCATGAGCAGGTCCAAAGACAAGGTTCGAAACGTTTGAATCTTTCCGGATATGGTGTGCTCTACTATACAAGTGGAGGGTGCTACAGGGTACGATCGGTATTATTTTTGTTGAAAGTTCAGCTACTCATGGGCTTAGCCACATGAGACTGTGGACTACATGATGCTGTTACCTCCTGTGCACAACGACTCCCGCTGTGGACGACTTCATACTGGTTGATCGGGAAGAGATGAAACTTTCTACTACAACACTGACATGCTACAATATTATCACCTACGTAGACCTTTATATAGGCCTACTCCCTTTCAGCTTGAGTACCTTTTTGACATACCACATAAAGATGTCCATTAAGCGACCAGTCTGTCTTCACATTTATCGAAGATTGATGCAACGTGCCCTCCGTCCGGCAGTTTTGGCGAGTGAACATTTGATGGCACAAAAGTGGCCCGAAGGAGAGACGCGTGGGGCGGCTTCGCAAACAGTTCCCTATATCTTTTGTCAACGGATCCGTTCATCGCCATCCTTGTGCTTTAGCTAGTGTTGAACGATTTTCTATTGTGGTTTTGGTGAAGGTCTGTTATCTTTATGTACATTTTTGCGTCTAAATGCACTTGCTAACCCGACACGACTTATTTTACCTTCATTCGCACGTTTGTCACTTGTTTATGTAATTGTAAGTTTGTGTGCCGTTTTGTGAGATAAGGCTTTGCTTGCGAAAAGCGACTGATTGCTGAGCGTGCGATGCACTAGAAGTGGAGTGGTCTTTACTCAACTAGGGCACCACCTGAGCGCTCATCAACGAGCGGTGCTTCTGAAACGCGATTTTGGTAGGTCCTTCGATTTCGCTGTCACAGATGCCATCGTCATGTCGTTGTTTCCTACGAACTCGGAAGTTTCTGGCTATAGCTGTTTTCCAAAGCGCCACCGAGCTCCTGTTCGAATGACCTCCCAATCGCATAGTTCCAAGATGGGGGTGAGCTCCTCAGTCAGCGCTTGCCTGGTCTGGCTGACTGGGAGATTGTCCCAGAAAACTGAGGAAAGTTGGTGATAGTGCCCATTTTCAAAAAAGGGCTCTTAGTGAGTGAGGTAATCACAGATGGATCAGCTTGACGCCGATCGTAGAGAGACTCTTTGCGTCACTTCTTCGTCGCCTTATGGTTGTTCGTGTAACATAAACCCGAGAGCAGCAACCGGAGTTCTGACCGCGTAGGGATAGCGTTGACCAGTTCTTAAACCCCTGGTGCTAAAACGACGCCGAATGTATAAAAGACCCACATTTTCAATATTCCTGGATTTCCAAGATACGTTTAACTCATTTGACCGGTATGTTCTCCTTGACACCATTGCTCAGCAAGAGGTGCATTGAAAGTTCGTGAACATAATAGGTTCTTTATATTCTCACTTCCGGGTGTTTGAGGATGTGCGGAGAGCCCTCGAAAAACTTCCGCGCATAAAGTGTAATCCGTCAGGTGTGCCGACTCTTCCTTCCTATTTAATTTCGTGATCGACGAGATATTGAGACTAACGCTGGGAGGTCTTCAAGACCCTGGTGTTCAAATAGCATTTGAAGAAAACCTTGTCAATCTGAAGTATTCAGACGTCATCGTTCTCATCTTCGAAGAGAACTCACAGGTGTTTTTGGATAAACTAACCAAAAGTCATCCCATCTTTTGGCTTGCGCTTTGCACTAACAGTGTAAGGACATGCCCCTGGACATATAGTCGCTGAACACGCGACTGTATGTCGCGTGTTCCAAGGCACTCAAAGTGTGGAGCGTTTTACGTGTCTCTGGAGTAGTGTTAGTTCCGATCTCATTGTGACGGATTAGGTTAGTGCGGGAATCTGCAGGGCTCGGGTCGCGTTTGCTAATTTGGGACACCTGTGGTGTGAAAGCGGTATATCTCTAAATTTCGATGGACTCATGTATCAGGCCATAGTACGACCTGTTTTGTTGGTAAATTTGTGGCTGAGATTTGGTCCCTCCCAGAAGCTTAACTGAGGCGTTTCAATAACCGTTTTCTCAGGACCGTGGCTCGTTTGCGTTGGTGTCTGCAAACCAAGGTAGTTAGAAAGGGGTTTTCGGTTGTGCAAAGGGGACTTTCGTCGAAGATTGTGTTCAGCACTAGAAACTGCGCTGGTTAGGCTACGTGTTGCGTGTACCGAACGGTTGTTTGCCGGATGTTGTTTTCAGTGCCCATTTCAGAGTGGCGAATGAATGAGTGTCTCGAGGTGTAAGCACCTCGGAATGGTTGTGGTCTCTTCCGCATCCACTTTTCTTTTCTTCACAGTAAGGCTCCCAACCAAATCATGGTTGTACGGCTGCGAAGCGTCAGTGTTGAACAATACTGCTGTGCTGTCGGTAGTGATGATGTTGGTCATGGTGGTTATCCGCTTGCGTTTGACTCCAAATGTATGATCTACACCTGGTGCAGACTTATCGACGCATTTTTTCAGTATTATGCATTTAGGCACTGGCGATTCGTCCCTATTATTTGGATGTATCTTACTGCGTTTAGACATCCCCGAAAGTTTACACATCGAGTTCTCCTGATAATCAACCACTTGATAGGGTCTGTATCACAACAAACCATATCTCCCCAGATCACCTTTTCCATGAGAGAACCTTCAGTAACGTATAGGTTGATATACACAACGTACCACAAAAGTCTCGGCTTCATGGCCAGCCCCGCAAGACCTTGACGCGATCTCGTGTGGATTGATGACATCTTTTTCTGGCAGGATCTTTGTTATCAAACCTTCCAGGATTCCGCCTGGGAGAGTATTACTGAACCGTCAAAAACGCCGTTGGGGATATTTCGTAATTTCACTTCGTTTTTCATCTTGCCGATCAACTTGAAGAGGCAAGTCATAACATACAAGACCTGCAGTGTGAATCCTAGCTAAGACCGTCGTACAGCATGAACTCGCAGGAGGCGACCTACTGGACTTCACTAGCAAGTTCAGGGACCGATGCTAAGGAGTTCGACCAATATTGTATCCAAATTTGAAAGGTTTTTATGGAGTTCATGGATTTCTCCAGCCGAATTTCCCGGATTTGGATAAGCTCTGGTGGCCTATGACGGCGTTGTTTCGCGTTCTGTACATCCTCATAGTTCAGTTAGGGAGTGTACATCTGGCACCCACAGAGTTTATCGTATCAGCTTGGCCAATAGGTAGGGTTAAACTAACACAGTTTTCAAGTCCTTCTGGCTGAGAGTTGGGACACATGTAGCAACTTGATCCATCATCATCATCATCATCATCATCATCATCATCATCATCATCATCATCATCAAGGACAGCAACATCAGTGTTGCCACTGATGCTTCCTGTCTAGGTGTGGGCGCCCTGGCAGTGTCCCAGCCCACGTACAACCATGAACTGCACACACAAAGCTTGATCCTTACAAATATTGATTATCCCATCAATCGTAAGCCAACCTTTGCTGCCTTGTGGTCAGGCTTGTGAGCCAAAAGTCTTGATTTATTCTCCCCGCAGGCCCGAGTAGTATCCAAGCTCACGTGCAAACATGAGCTACACAACTACCAATAACTATCCCAGAAACCAGGCATTCCAAACGCCAGACAAATATTACCGTAGCTCAACCAGGTATGTGCTGGATACGATGCGGTTATTCAGTGCCGGTCTCCCCAGCACCTTTACACTCAGGGAAATATCCTTATCAATGATTATTTCGAACCATCTTATACCCAAAAAGCCTTTAATCCAGTTCGCGAACATAAATCAATGGCTGACCAAGTCAAGGTCAAATTATCATATCTCGAATGGGTCGCTCTTTTATCGAGACAAACAGTCAATTCATCCAGAAGCACGAATGAAATAATGATCGTTCAGCCTTTTACACCCTCTTGGTGCCTATCGGCCTTGCATCCGAAGGAAACGCCAGGGCTGGGATACTGCCACGTTGCCCAGACATGATAAGTCGAGATGCGGAGATCGGGTTCAAACCATGGACCTTCCGGTCAGTAAACTTGCACTCTTACCACTTAGTCATTTTTCCTCCTCCTCCTCCTCCTCCTAATAACAATAATAATAATAATAATAATAATAATAATAATAGTAATAATAATAATAATCTTTCAGTTTTTCAGAAAGCACATGGGGCTCATGAAGTATGTTCTCTCTCCGGAGTCCATTCTGTATATGCCTCGTTGGGCTTTCTGGCGACACAAATCCGAAGAGACGAGAATAGCCAACATTGTCGCCTTTTGTACACCATCCTAGTTACCTCGTCGGAAAAAACGATGCTGTCCGTTAATTTGATTGATCTATATACCGATATGCTAGGTCCGTATTGTTCATCCATTAGTTTTGGCGTGCTTTCATTTCTGTCCTTATCATGCTTCACCTATGTCCATGTTAATTTTTTTCATTACATTCCTGTGGATACATTTCAGCTCATACCGCAATAAACCTGGTCATAATACGATCTCACTAGCATACTTCATATCGTTGGATATCTTTCAATGGTGAATTGATACACCATTAACTGTTATTTTTACTTAGTTTGCCAAATTGCAACCTTTCTTGTGTTCCTTCGTGCGTGGCCTCTCTACCGTGAGTTCCATTTTTTCATAGATTTCATTATAATGGGTTTTATCTTTTTTTCCGAACTGATTATAGCGTTTTCAGCCAAACATAAATGCCAACTGGCCTTTTAAGACTGGTTGAATGCATTAGTGACAGTTGAACTTGGCTTTCTTAGCATGACAGAACCACCTATTATCGTGTTCGTCCAACTGGTCAGAGTAAATCCACACTGAAATGCTTAATGAAAACGAAGTTGCGCACAGCACCTAAAGGAATCGCTTTCATAATGATTTTTCACCAGCTACCCACAAAGTGCAACTACATAAGCTGCCATTTGACTATATGATGTGTTTGTCTTCCAACTGTTCTCGTTTCATACACCTCCATACTTCCTCATCGTTATCAGAGACAGCAACATCAGTTGACAGTGATGTCTCACTGCTGTGCAACCAAAAAGCCTATCTATTATATTTAAAGTCGCAGAATGAAAAGAAAGGGAAAAGAGTAGGCGAGGAAGGGGACCTGGTGCCGGCCCATTTCAAGCATTTTGAGATCACACAATTTCAAGCACTCAATCAGACAAGCTTGAAAGAAACGCCACTGACATCGGCTAGCCACCACTTCTTGAAATTTTTCCAGCCAGACACAAGAGAGTCCACTTGGACCAAATCCTTGAAGGCGTATCACACCTACAACACCCAAACTCTTCGCAATCTCTTTCACGCCCTTTTGCCAAGTCGTACATTGTCCGACTCAAAGTTCCCACCATTCTGAAGGAGGCACAGAGAGCAACACTTGTCTCTGTAGACGCTGTTTCGGCCTGCATAGCACATGGCCGAGCCAGATGACGATGCTTGATGCTTTGCGTTACTGAAGTACCTGCTGCACAACCAACTACCCGTTTTCTGATTACTTTACGAATTCGTTGACACCATCGGACACTAGCAACACTTCTGAGGTACCAGTGGTATAAAAACTGAAGATACCTCACATCACCTGTCCACAGAGGCCAGGTCTCGCACCCATACACCAATACAGCCTCTCCCGTAGCCTCGTACACGCGACCCTTGAGATCCTTTTTGACGCCACAGATGGCGCCAATTAGCAGACGTGATTCGGGCATCAGATTCGTTCACCGACTTCATCAGACACACATCCGTAAGTGTTACTACGACTACCGGGGTATATAAAATTCGTCACAACCACGAAGGATTCCCCTTGAGTCGTGACGGTATGTTCAGAGGCTAAACGCTCTGAAGTGTGACTTTGTACTTGAAAGTTACAAGGCTCATGTCAAAAGGTAATATGGTGATGATCGGTTTATTCCACAGGTCTTGTGCTTCGCCTTAACCTTCAAAGGTGGGGACGATGTCGTCTGCGTACTTCAAATCGACAAGGTTCTCACCAACAACGATTTGAAAACTGAGATTTTGAGTACCTTCCAGAGTCCGCCTCATTATATCATAGGCGACGAATTTGAACAAGAGCGGAGATATCAAACATCCTTGTCGGACCCCAATTTTTGTAGGAAAGCTTTTAGAGAGCTGACCTTACCCTCTGACACGCCCAGAAGTAAGTATGCGAACCGAATTTTGTGCACAAATCTCTGAAGCATACCTTGTTTAGCAGTTGTGTTTAATAGCTCCGACCGATTGACAGAGTCTAACTCACCTTTGATATAAAGGAACACTAAGATTGCGGGTCGTCTGTACATACGGCGTTGCTCTAACGAATGGAGTATGAATATGTGATCAACGTAGCCTCTATCCGGTCGAAATCTCGCTTGATGCTCACAAGTCGAGAATCGCCATGCCGCCGTAAGACGACGAAAAATCAGCGGCGCCATAAGCCTTGTTACAACGGGAGTCAAGCTGATACCTTTTTTGAAAGTGGGCACTGTTATCAACTCACCCCGGTTATCCGAAACAGTCGCCTTCTCTCAGATAGACCCAAGCAGGCTAGGCTGACACCTTATGAGGAATTTGTTGCCATCTTTGGATAAGGCCTGGGAGATCATCAGGGTGGAGTGCACGATGACGCTCGAGTAGAGAAATACACTCAGACAATTTTGAGACTGAAGGGGGTTTCAACTTTACAGCCCACTTTTTGTTGAAGGTCTGCATTCCGGTTTGGAGGCTCTCGCCACTGGTAACTGATGGCCTGTGTTGATTCGGAGCTGCTTCTTTGATGAGCACCATGTTGTCAAGCGAAATCCGCTTTCCAGAAATTGGTCCCGCGAAAGAACAGTCTGTGCCCGTACCTCTCGTATCCAACCCAAGACGATCATCCAACCGGGCCTCAGCAGAGCTGAGACCACCCACCCGGCGTGATGTCACTGATAACCACAACGATGTTTGAGCTTTTAGCCCATTGTAAAAAAGCACCTAGAACGTCATAGAAACGTTCTTTAATAGATTCCTTCGGGACATAAGCAGACGCAATGGACAGTATGCAAGATAACTCGCTTTCTCGAAATTCTTTCACAGACGTTGCCAAACGAGCCGCACAGAGACGACTACCAACGGGCTCAGTCGCCCAACACAATACCTACCCGACATACCCACTTACGGTGGTCTCCACATCACCAGATGTGTGCAACCGAAACCTGGAAGAGAGCGAGGGGGCAGTCAGTTCATTTGCAGTACTTTCTTTCTGTATCCTTGTTTCTGACAGATGGCACAGATCAGTGCAGAGGGAATCTAGCATACGAGCAAGAGTCGCCCCTTGTCTTGCTTGTTTCAGTGTGCCAACATTAAAGGCAGCTAATGAGACCGGTTTTCAGGGCTTGAAAACATACTTAGGCGTGCTTAGGGTTTTTAATGAAGTCAGATGTGGAAGTCAGTCAGAAGCCATATACGGCGAAAGCAAACGACTGCGTATGCCTCACTTCTTCGTTATCATATTTTAACTCCCCTCTTATCACGCTTGAAAGCTCCTTTTCTCCAGGTCCAAGCCGCAGGCATGTCAGTCACCTGGGGAATGTACGCATCGCATACTGTCGCTCGTATCTACTGCTCTGCGCCTACCATTCATGTGTCATTCTGTTCTTATTGCAACGTTCAACATGCGAAATCTTAGGCGGATCGGCAGGCAAGCTGTTGTACGCACTTCAGATACTTCATCGACTGACATCTCTTGTACCTTGAAAACTCGAATGAAAGATACCAGGAGGGCTGTTGAGCCTACAGCACCCTTTCTGTGTATACGCTGTGGATGGTGTGTGATCCTGCAACGCACTGCGACGCAATGCTTGTTACCCCTCAGTTCGCGAGCTGGAGCCTCAATGCTCCACTTGGTACCTCTAAACGGGCTGACTCAGTGCTGTTCGGCTCTGTACTTCCATAAATACTGGCACTGTTCGAATTACAGAACGCTCCGTTTATCGTACCCATTTATGTACCAACCGACTGTATCTGTGAATCGTTAAAAGATACTCTCTGTCGAACACTAACCACCTTACTGTCCACGACGAAGAGTTCAGATGTGGTTATAATAACGAGATTACCATGCACAAGTAGGGCGCCTAGTCAATCAGAGACATGCATTGGTTGTATGTTTAGTCTGGACGCAAAACGCGGTGATGTCAGTTAGTCTTTCGTACCTTAGTGCCGATCATCACTTGTTTCTTAGTAGTTTTAGGCGCTATTATACTACTTGGGACGCCCCTGCTGCTTCAACTTCAGGGTCAGACTGACCATATTGCCATCAACTGCCGATGATGTTGTTCAGTCCTTAGTTGCCAGTTGTTTTGGAATACACTAGTTGATTGAAATCACGTCCTCGTTTCGTACGGATCATTCACTTTCCGCGGTCAACTCCGGGAGCAAATTCTTCATTGTCGGCAGAACAGCTTTGCCATTCATATGTTAGGGGTCTAGTTTACAATGCCGCGATGCCATCCATGTTGTTATGCGGGTCAGGAACCTGGCTGCTGCGTGCTAAAGACTTTCAGTATTTGACTATTAATGTCTTCGGAGCACTGCCCGAGTCTGGCGGGAACACCGGATCAGCAATGCTGAAATACATCGAATGGTATTCGGGAGAAATTACCCACCCACTATAGATGAGCTGACCACACTGCATAGGTTTCACTGGCTTGGCCAGGTGCCAGTCGACCGACTTTACCGGAGGGTTAATTTTGTAGAACTACGCGAAGGGTGGGAACGAACCAGCGGAGGTCAAACAATGACTTGGCAGCGAAGTGTGAAAACCATTATCAGCAAACTCAGCTGCGCTGTTCATTGCCGTCTCCCTGGATGGGGACTTCGAGAGGGCCACATAAATGGTTAGAGACATTCTCAGACATGGCCAAGTCGTGCCCTCAACGCCGCTCCTGCATCAAAGCTATTGCCTTCAATGCATAGCTTCCTTTCTAATCCCTCCACTTAAAATTCCACTGACAGCCCTGTATTTACGCATCATTTTATCAGCTCCCAGCTCCAGTGCGCAGCTACCTACCCCCACCTCCCCAAATCATCGGTGGACGAAACTGTGGCAGCTATAACCACTGTACGACAATACGCGGGTCTTACAGCTGATAATGATTATGATGATGCTGATAGGAGAACATACCAAAGCGTACCATAGAACGCATTACAAGGCGCTTTTTAGGAGAGCATTGACCGAAACAGGAATGAGATAACCAGGGCCGTACGTGATATCCGGAACTCTACTTTTGGTGTTTCTGAATGCATACACGAAAATCAGTGGATCTCAGGACGGTCTCTATCGGTCCTTTTTATAGATACTGTATCCCCTCGGGCCATTTGGATAGATGATCGGTCGCACGACAGCTCCCACGTAACTGGTGTTTGGTGCGGAGGAACTGTAAAGTTCCTCAAATCGAGAGGCCAGTGCGGTTAGGAATGCACGGAAGCTGTTCCAGGTAGTCCACAAGACAAGGCCTTCCATAAATGAGCTAATCAAAGATAAGTCAGCGTCTACATCTCTGGGGAGCGTAGTATCAACAGTGGTTTGGTTGACCTGCCCCGTGCCTATACCGTTATCCGACCCGCTCATTTTGGGTCGTGGTCTGAGTTTAGATTCCCTCTCAGTTGATGAGGCACGTGAGGCGCAAATCCGAGATCACCAGGGAGAATTTCGACAGAGGGTGCAGCGACCATATCTTCATTTTTCCTCAGGTGCTTCAGCAGCGCCACATGTAATGTCGCGTTGACGAACAACCGCCGGTTTCCTCGATTCTGAAGCAGACTTCGACTCCTAAACATTCTTGGCCAATAGACCATGCCCTTAGGGTTCGTGAACACTCCTTTCTTTTTTTCTCATACTTTCAGTCGAGTTAAGTTGTACTGTGGACCTGATACTCAACGGAGTTCGTTAGGGTTTTCCATTTTCTCATTTTTATTCAATTTAATTATTGGCGTTACCATAGAGTGCACATTTCAGCAGAGGGTAACTAATGGAATTGGATTATACGAGTGACATCGTTTGCTTTTTTGACGAATATTTGTCCGCGCAAAATACTTTACACAGAACATCGATTACCCTGTGTTTCGAAATATGTTTTGTACTTTCTAATTACCCATTGTTTTGTCCTCCGAAAATTCAGAACCGATATCCTGAGTCTGTTGATCCGTCCACATATCTTGGCAGCTGCGTAAGCCGTGAGTATATTGCAACACATGAGGATACTTAAAATGTGAGCGTCATTTCTGGCGTCAGAACCGAACTTCTCTGAACTCTCTGGAGAGTCGCCTTTACAAAGCAACTCTCAAGATGGTTTCAATTTTTGACTGGGAAACATAGCCTCTCTGACCGAAAAACCCCGGCACCTCTGTAGTCTAGCAAGAGTTAGCTGATTGCAGCGGGTACGCAACGAAATGGTATTTTTCAGCGAGTTGGTATGGATATGCATCACGCCAAACTACCGTCGATCCAAGAAAGCCTTGATTTCCGTTGGAAGCCATGGTTGAAGGAAGGCTCTTTGGAGGGGGGCATGTCATGGAATGGCATGGTAACGTGGTAGCTACAGTCAACCTGTATTGTGGGATCTTCATCTAGGGCCCACTTGATCCACGTGAACGTAGCTGGACAATCTTCATGACGTGGCTAGTAACCTAACCGAGTGGTGCATATGCTGTTATTTATTAACCGGATTGCCTAGCTAAAGTCCTCTTGTCGTTGTGCGCTAGCTTTATGCTGAGTGAGGTCACAAAGAATGCCCTATCAATCCCGCTGACGGCACCTTCATTCGCATGATGGTCAAATGTGAGTGCTGGCAGAATGCTTGCTCTTGCTCTTGTTCTCTGTCATTTCCCATGACGACACAACCTCTGAAATAAATCCCAACCCTTTTCCACTCTTTACTAAGGCTTTCTTTTCTCATGGTTGTACGGCAGTTGAGCGCCATCGTGTATTACTAATGTATTGTTGTTAATGATGATGACGAATGTGTTCGCGCTCCTGTGTCTCTGCGTTCTTATGGCGAGCTGTCACCTCGGATTGCTGTTTCTAGCGGTATCCGACAGCATTGCCTGATCTGTCCGTTTTTATTTAGTCTCACTAAGAAATGTATCCTCAAAGATATGTCTAATATTTCATTGTATGCTTTCTACAGAGAAAACCTCTAGTTTATGACAACATAAACTGTGTTTACTACGTCTTTGATAGACTAAGGAAGTCTTCCTGCCGTTTTGATCTGATATTCGCAGAAGTGTAAAGTTGTCATTGGACCGACCAGCACCAGTACCAAATCTCATCATAAGTGGGCGTTGTGGAGAAAAATGCATATGTAGGTGGCTGTCTCGCTTTACAGGGCTCCTGGATGAAATAAGCAGTCATTTTGTCAAAGTTCGGACAACATCCTGTATTCAGTGTAATTGAATGCTTCTCTCCCAGTAGCTGACAGATTCAGTAGGAACTCAGACCCGCGCTGCATAAAAGTGTCACTTCAACACCCGGCATAATTACGTCGGAAGGTAAAAGCGATGTGCAACCCACCCAATGTAGCTGTCATACCGAAGGAGTTTTTTATCATTATTTCCGATGATTTTGTGTTGAAGTCCTCATTAATTACTCTGCTACAATTCTTCTTAGTGTTTAGATAACAACAACTGATATTTCCATTCTTGTTTCAAAGCAACCGCCCTTATACAGCTGCTCTGGTTGCGTACTCTAGTTGGTCTCGATGAATTGGAGGCTAGTACGACGATTTGGTTAGTCTACTATCGTATTCAGACGAAATAGTAAGCAGTGTTATTATGAGAGGCAACAACTACTGTGTTGTCTTTTTCGAGCAGCTGTCTGCTGGTGGCTGCGAGTAGCAGTTATTGCTATAACCTAGCTTAGGGATAATAGCCTCGGTAAGCTCTCATCAATGTCAAGTTACTCATTTCCTAAGTTAGAAATTCTCCGAGTTAGAATCGAATATGTCAACTTTAGACGAAGGGTTCTTGTCACTAAATCTGTTTAAATTATGCCCGAACTGGAGTAATCAATTCAATACCAGTGTTATGGTTATGATCCATGGATCACTCAGTGTTTACCAGACTTTCAATAGAATCCCTGTAGACTCTTGGCTAAATTCCTGTCTGTTGGAGGACGGGCTATATCAATTTTCCTTAAAAACCTAATATTACCCGGACATCAGTGTATAGGTGCTACGTTGTTTCCAGTAGCAAAAGGTATGCAACAGACATAATCACTCGACTTCCGTTGTCATACCCCAGCTGATGCATCAATATCTGCAAAGAATTTTGGATCACCGCAGCTACGGTTTGAAGTAGGTTGCCCGATCTCCGGAAAAGTTGCTATTGTCAGGTGACTTTGAGATGAACTGCTAGACCTCATTTGTGCGAACCTGAACTCTGATGTATATTGTCGGCAACATTATTTCTACCTAAACTAACTGCGTACCAAATCTGAGTGACAGCCTTGAGGACAGCTGATTCCTGAGATCAGTCACTTATAGAGTTTGCTGTATGCGTCTTTTGACCATAGACTTGACACTGCTGGGCCCATTAAAAATAGATAGTGAAACCACTTCTACCACTTGTATGATGAGTTAAGCGGAGACAGGGGAGTGATGTATGTAGAGGGCTAGGTGGACCCGCAATCGCTAACTTAAAGTTTAATAAACTTTGTAGCACTTCGTATAATATTAGTTTTTCTGAAACGCGTACCACCCAAAACTTTCGCAGGGACCACAGTGCTTAAGTTACATTTTTTGGCCCTCACCCAAAAACCCCATCCATTTTAATGCAGCGTGCGATACACTAGTTTTCGGGTGTCTCTCGTCTTTTATCTTATAGAAACCATGGAAAGTGACTGGACTGAATCACGTTGCCATGGTTGTTCCTGACGTAGAGAAGGCCGCCACATTTTATCGGGATACATTCGGTGTCCAGGTGGACAAACCATTTGTGAGTTCTTTCATGAGATTTTGTGTCCTCTTTGAGAATTTACGTCCGTAGTTTATGACGAGCGAATGGCTACTCGAACAATCTTGTAAACTACTCTTGACTGGCTGGCTGGTTCTGTCTGTTTGACAGAGTGATTGCTGTTTCCATCAGCTCGCGAAGTGTTCACCGAATCTTGAGTACTAACCACAGAAGAAAAGTAGCGAAGACACCAGTACACATCTAGAGGTAGTTTCTGTGTCTGGACAAGTGTTCGGTTTCTTTACTGAATGCCCCGAAAGCCTATCACTTCACACCATATTTATTTCAAATCACAGTCCGTAAATCATGCCATAGTGATTCCAACCCTTATATATATATATATATATATATATATATATATATATAAAGCGAAGGGCGGAACCAGTTCCCGCATTGGGAAGGTCAGGGCNTATATATAAAGCGAAGGGCGGAACCAGTTCCCGAATTGGGAAGGTCAGGGCAGTATTTGCTAACTTCCGACATTTGTTGCGCCGGTATCACATGAGCTTGACTATAAATAGTCAAATATACTAAGCCGCGACCCGATCTGCCATACTTTGTGCATCTAACATGTGGCCGCTGCGTGCAAAAGATCTGTACTTGACTACACCTGCCTCGTAACTGTTACCTAGGTCAAATAGGAACATCAGATTGGTAATGCTGGGTTATACCAGTCGGCAGGTTCACTCACCCTCGATAGATCGGCTCGTCACAGTTCACAGTCTACGATATTTAAGCAATTACTTCGTGTGTTAGAGGACTGTTTGCCTCGTAGAGTTCTCTTCGCCCAGCCTTATTTCGCATGGAGGCGACCGATAGGCAGTCAGTCAGTGATTTGGCGACGAAGCCTATGACAGCCTTAAAGAGAGATCTGAGACAGATCAATAGTTAGTGACCCTAACAGATATGGCTATCATACAGCCAATAGCGGTCCGACATCACAACTATGGCTTTCACTGCATTGCTCTCACTTCTTGCCATACTGGACATTAGTCGTCAATGCATGGATTGTGCCATCGCCTCAAACATGCGGCTCTCATTCCCTCCATTCTTATATTCGGTGAACAAAGCTGTCGTAGCTGGAATCACTGCACTTCGGTGCGCGGCTTGTGAGCTGCAAAACCCTGTAAAAATCCTCTTCATCCCTGTTGCCTTCCATCTCCGTTAACATTTAAGCACCAGTATGTGTTACCGGTGCATTGTTGTCACCGATGATGATCATAGTGGTACTGAACTGACCTGATGGCGGTTAAACTACCCAACTTGTCTGGAACGCTATCTTTTCTAGGTCTTAACCGCCCTGGTAACTAACTGAAACTGGTGAAGTCATCGGCTTACGTTTTCAAACAAACGGTACTTTCGTGTATTGATCAGTAATCAAATTACTTGTTGTGTTGTTGCCAAAATATGTCCGCCAGTGTACGGGAAAGAACAGCTTGGCAGTGTGTACGTGCAGTCCACCGAGTTGACTGGATTTGAGAGAATCATGTCCATTGCATGGTCCCTGAATGAACCAACACAATATTCTTATCGATTTCCACATGACCTTGAAAGATGGTTTAACCTAATTTAGTCTTCGGTCCATTCGTCTAGTATTTATATGTAAACACAGTTCTTCGATTCTGGATGTTGAGTGGCAGCAGATTCTGTTTGCATATTCTGGTAAACAATATGTTCGTGTGTAGTTCAGCTAACCCGACTGGTTCAACCTTGCACGCATGAACTAAAAAAGAGGATGCATCCATTTTCAGACTTTCTAGTGCGAATCGTGACAACTGTCACAGTGCTGGTTAACATATTTACAGGGGACTGTAAGGAAAAGAGGGCGCAGATAGAATTTTGGGAAAACCTAGAAGGGATTAGGCGTGGTGCAACGATGAAGAATAGTAGTTAGCAGTGGATGCTTGGAAAATTGGGAACCGTTTAGAGATTGGATGACGTATGGGAATAGGCATGATATGTGGTCCCCACTGCGACCGCTTTCTTCCGGACGACAATCTCGTGAGACAGTATTGGTTCGTCCCAGAAATGTCTCGGATACACGCTGCTCAGCTAAGGTGGTCAACCGCTGGATCTACACAAATGGCGATCCAATGTCAGCCCCAGTGATTTACCCCGTAGACCACATGAAGACTGAGCTGGTCCATATCGCCCTTGACCTTACTCAACCACGTTTTCAGTTCTAGGCGACAACGGCATCCTCGGCATTTTGTAGGGCTAAGATTTGTTTTGTGATTTTGGCATCGTTCCCGCGTAACAAGTGCCCAAACGATTGCAGACGCCGTCGCCGAAAGGGTCGAATTAGGCGTGGTTGGTCGTAACATCTTTTTCGATCCTAATGATTGGATGCCTTCCTTAGCGAACCCTCAATAAGCGTTGGAGATACTAGTGCTCAAGAACGCTCAGCTTTCGGATATCTTCTGTTCGTCGATGTTATATTTTGCAGGCATAAATCGGGACCGGACACGTAGCTGCGTTGAAGATCCGGAGTTTCTTGCGTTAGCTAATCTCAATTCGTTTCCACAGGACGGAGTTTAGCTGCATGAAGTCTTGCCGGGCATTGTCTACATGACGTTGAATTTCCTCAATCTCTCCGTTGAGTAACATGGTGGGACCAATGCATCTGAAGCCGGCAATCTGTGGAATTGTTGCGTCTCTTTTGTTGAGAGGCTGAATAGACACATCCATGCAGGTGGAGAAAAACTTGGTCTTCGATGTGTTGATTTCCAGTCCTACAAGTGCCTCGTAGTTAGTTGGATTATTCAGCACGTGTTAAAGTTCTTCTGAGTCATCTCTCAACAGGACGCTATCTTCGGCGTATACCAATTCAGCTATCCAGGTATGGAGAAGTAGGTGAGCGCCAGGGAAACCCTCCACTACCTGTAAGAAAGAAAGCGTTCAGCTGTAGCACCCTTTCGGTGCCTAGCTGCCATGCCACCCGAAGGAAGCACGAGGGCTGGGATACTGCCAGGTTGCTCAAGCCTAGACAGGGGAAGTCGAGAGTCGGAGGTCAGATTCTAACCACTGACCTTCCGGTCAGTAAATTCGCGCTCTTACCACTTGGGCCATCTCGCCCCCGGGACACGTAACAATGGCCAAATTAAATTTCGGGATTATAGATCGAATGGAGTGGATGTGACGGTGAATGATGCGAGGCTCGTACAGACTTTTTAAACAAGTTAGCTGGCTGCATCAGCCTCCCTAAGGTCTTAGTGCATCCCTTGGGAAGTTACTGGCTGTTAGTTGGATTCCGTCACATGGATTTCTCCAGGATGGCTTTGTGACATTACCTAACTAAGTCGTTACACTCAATGATGTGGGCGCGTCCTGTAAGATGTAATATTGATCGACGTCGGGTGTTCTCCATATCGACCAGCCTTTACTACCGGGGTTGACACACTCAGTTACGGTAGTGCATCAGTGATTTGGTTCATCGCACTGTTAAACTAATATGCCACACAGCTGTCTCATTTTGTCCGGCGCTTGTTGATATGGTGCGTGACAAGTCGATATGTCAGATCACACTTGGCGTCTATTATTCTTTACCCGGGTTTCGTTTCCTTACTTTCAGACTGCTGAGGCACACGGTGTTCATGTAGCGTTTGTCTACATGGGTAATACGAAGATCGAGGTGAATGTCCTTGCCTTTGCTGCATGGTCAATTTCTCCTTCTTAGTTAATCAGCCCGATCGATGAGCATAGTCCAGTGGCGAAGTTTCTCGAGCGTAACAAATCTGGAGGGTTACATCACATTTGTGTTGAAGTAAGCACTTTCTTTATGTTTTCGCTCGTAGATCCAGAGTGTATCATCTCTCTCCTTATTGTATCACTCATACAACAACTCGTTTTGTGGTGGCTTGCGGCAGTGAACTGATTTTTAAACTTGTGATGAGAGGTACCAATTTTCTACCTGCCATGGTTCTGCACACAACTGTCAATTAAACGGAGATATTTGTTTCCTTTCACCGTTGAACAACTTAGACCCACCTACCCATGATAGTGACTCAGAGCTCTACAGATAAGAGTACTGGGGCTCTACGTACGCGCCTAATATTTCCTTGATAACAACTAAGTCGTTGATTTTGGTAACCTCGCAGGACCGTTTGTGTGACATACTTAAAGACCGAGGCGCCAAGCGTCGAATACTCAACACAGGCGGAGAAAGGGAGATTAAGCAATCTGCTAGCTAGAACATACAGCTAACGGAGTCTCCGCACGCAAACTCGGCAGTCAGACATCTACACTTTTCCTGACCCGGTGTCACGCCAACTTGATCTCGGTAGATCTCAACCGAGAGAGGACACTGAGTTTAACTTAATGAATGCATTAGGTTGCCTTTCTCGAGACTATGTGAAGGAGTACCAGTGACCAAAAGTTAACCCTCTTTGTCAAACAGAAAGTATCAATCAAGTTGTGAGTTGCCTGTTTGCAACTGGCTTCAGTTGAAGAAACTGGTTGGTGATAGACAAGACTGCTAATGCACAAACGGGTATCGTATGACTGCATTTTGAAGCATACAATGAAATCACGCAACTGATTACTGCGTTACAAGAACACTCCATGATGATAATTCTTGCTCCCGACAGTTACCGCGTAGATCCACTACGTCCTGTTAAATCAGGGGTATATGAACCCAGCAGCACAGCTGGTGCTCACCCTTTGTCACCCGGCTACATTGGCATTCTTCCATAGATCGCCGCTAATTTTTTACCCAATCACGTCATGCAGGCAGAAAAGAGTATAAATCTACACTTACCTTCACGCTGATCACTGCACTAGAACAATTTGGTAATCCACTCGTCAGCCTTTTTGACGTCATGCAGATCCCCATAACACGTCTTTGTCCAGTTATGTTCTTTTAAAACCACTGCGACGAGTAACTGGAGGGATTAGTTATTTTTACTGTCGCAGAGACAATCGGTCATCTGTCCGGGACTTTCGGTATGAGAATTTTCAAGACAATATTACTCCTGTTTTCATGCAGAATGCCTTTCACGATCATTATAATTGCATTCCTTAGATAGCTTCCCCGAAACACCGTCCTTCCAGTGCAAATGACGCCCTCTTTCACGGGTTCTGCCGAAAAATCACAAAATTGAGGGAGTAAATTAGTACCTTCCAGAAAGGACTGTCGTTCCAAATAAGAAATTGTGATTGTTTTGAGAACGGATGATTTCGGACTAGTATATAATAATCTGTTTAGCGCAATCTTCCCATTTGTGTGCGATAATTCTTGCCCAAAGAATGAAGGGTCGATTTTTGGCACCGGTGAGTATTAGGTATCCCTGGTTGGCATGCAGCGCGTAATTGCGTGAAAAGTGAAATCTGATGGGTAAAATAACAAAATGCTACACTTTCTTGGGAAGTTTGCTGGAAGCGCTTTGTAGATAACCGGTTTTGCAGTTCATTTTCGGCCACAACACATCCCATCCATCAGGACTAACTGAACATTGCTTGGCATCCATTTGGGTCATACAAATTCAACCTCTCAGGCTGATAATTACCGCTTGGTATCACGTGACCAAGTAATTTTATCTATCAGCCACTGCCAAGTTATCTCTCTCTCCCTCTCTCTCGTGCAAACCAATCGATAAGATCGGCGAACCGCTCAGCAGCCACCTGATCCGCAACCACGAGAACTTCTGCACTAGAGAACAACCCTGGTTTATATCATAAGCGCTCTGTAGGAAGGGAAATCACTGCAGTTCGTTGACTGATGTGCTCATTTAGCTAGTGTTCTTTATTGTGCGCGACGCATGGATGTTTCTCGAAACGGCGCTTCCTCTGTTTAGCGAACTGCTTTGCGATGACCTCTGACAAATGTGTCTATGCACGTTAACGCAAGATATGAGCTATCCATTTTCGTGAGACGCGTCCTCCCTTTTAAGAAGTTAAAACAAAGCGCGAGGGCCGTACTAATTCGATCAAATTAAGTCGTTTTGGACCGAATGAGTTGAATCTGGATCACTTTATTCGGACATCGTACTACATCTCATTTGTCTCACTATGTTTTATATTATATGTATTTGTATATATGCGCACTGGTGCACTTTCTGATTAGTATTCCACACCTCCTTTCAAGGTTGACGATTTACGAGGAGCGGTTGATGGAATCAAGCAGAAGAATCTACGTTTTCTCGCACCCGAGCCTAAAGTTGGTGCTTGTGGTCTCCCCGTTATTTTCATGCATCCAAAAGATGCCAATGGGGTACTCATCGAACTGGAAGCATCCCATTCGACGGAAGGCCACTGAATCTTGCACCATCTCGTTGTACAGCTCTGTACTTTTATTTTTCACGATTCTAGCTATTTTTTTACTTACAGAGCTGTCCAGAAGATCACACTTCCGATTGTCCGCAGTGGAGTTCCGATAGAATTTTTTCATGATTATTTCTGGATTATTTCAAAAAATCTGAAATCATAGTCTCTGTTGCTTCACCCCTGGTCATTGAAACGGCGGATTTAGTAAGCTTAATCCTCGCAACAGATACTGAAATCAAGGAAAATCCGCCTCTAAACAACAAGCTCTGATCGTCCCAATTGTATTGCCAGGTTTGAAGGTATAGGAAGTAGCATGTGGTATGGCACAATACTACTTCATTTACGAAAAAGACCAGCGAGATTGTTTCGAAGAAACGTCTCGATGAGGAGGTTGTCGTGGGTTGCACAGCATACACTCTGTTCATACGATCCCTTCCTAAGAGGAAGTAGGTTGTTATTTGATACATTTTCGACTACGGTCGAAAGATTGATAGTCTCTCTTCCAAGGTGAACTTTCTTTTTCCAGAAACACAACGTCATGTTTGATTTTTTTTAAAATACGTCGTATAAATTGTGTCGATACTTGTGGGTCCAGTGTCATATTTCGTTGAGCACACCGCCGCTGAATTTGCTGACTCAGTTCTTCCCGTGATTATCTTACATCGTTGGTCCCTAGAAGAGCCTCCGCTCTGTCCTGTTTGTCACCTGTTTGCTTTCCTCATACCCAGGCTTCCCAGAGAATTTACACAAATGGCACTGAAGAAGATGGCCTTAGAGATCTTAATGGTTTCTTTTCAGTCCTTATGATCACGTTGCAGGGGGGGTTCCTCTGTATCACGAGCTAGACCAGGCCACGGTCAACATAATGACGATTGGTTAATTAAGACACCGGCGGGAGTTGCTGATAGATAATATTCCTCAGTGAGCTCGATACGGAGCATTAATAATGCATGACCCCGTTACAGTATTACTTTTGCCCACAGCCACCTTTTTTCGGAAAACGGATACTTAATCGTAGCAGAGACGAACCCTACATTGATTCGGCTCAACAGACTGCTCGAAGGAAGATCTGATTCTGGTACTTCCTAGTTTGCTACACCACAAAGAAACTGGTCCACTTTCGTACTTAATAACCAATGAAGAAAACGGTTTGAGGGAAATTTTAGTGCATCAAATGTTACATTAGTCCTCCGGGTGAGCAGTGTGCTCCAGTATTCGATCGTTCAGCTGCAGCACCCTTTCGGTGCCTAACTGTCGTGCCACCCGAAGGAAGCACGAGTGTTGGGACACTGCCAGATTGTCCAAACCTAGACAGGAAGTTGAGAAGCCGGGGTCGAGTTTGAACTACAAATCTTCCGGTCAGTAAATTCGCGCTCTAACCATTCAGCCTTCTCGGCAATCAGGTGGGAAACGTTTCGATATTTCCGAGTGATGATCAAGCGGAAACACAATAGCCATAGGGTAAGAGATGTACAGTTTTACCTGCATCTTTACCTTCCTCTCGCTTGCTGTAAGGAGCAGAATAGACAGATGTGCACCCGTTGACAACAGTCCGATTACACTGCTAGGTTGTTTACCCCTATCCGAAACACAAATGTTGCGTAATACGAAACCGAACAACTGTGTTACTGCGTATCACATTTATGGTCGTCAGGAATGAAATTAAAGTAAGATGCCCGATTAAGCGTTATTTGTGCACGATAAGTCCTCCATCAAGAACCATTGAAAAAATTCATCAATAGCTGATTCAGGTTTGTCCAGAGATCACTCAGTTAACTAAAAGCTTGCTGTAGTCGCATACTGGCTGGTAAGTCGATAAGTTAGTCTAGGCAGATACCTGAGAGGAAAAGTAGTGTGTTGTAAGAAGCTGGTGGCAAAGATGCAGGTGTCAAACCATAAGCCAACATTTTGTTCAGGTTATCCGAGCGAACTGTTTTCAACTCAGGTGAGACGGTCTTGACATTCTTGGGTTGCGATGTTCTACGGATGAATCCGTTTTACAGAGGCTTCATGGTTTGTTTTATGTGATCTGCACTACATCGCAGTGTCTTTCTTTTCCTGCAAGCAGCGATCGCAACTGTTTTTGTACTCATTGGGTCATATGCGCTGTTTCGCGAAAAAAACAGATCACGTGGTTTGTGGTGAAACTCAAATGGGATTTCCGGTTGACAACGGCGTATCGTAGTTGGTTTCTCATTCAGCCTACCGAGTCAATAAGCCATCCAATCAAGTCGCATTCGTGGCACTGGTGATGTATGCCGCCGACTGTGTTGACACGGCTTGGCTACATTGCAGGTGAGCCAGATGGGCAAATTTACACACCGGACTGGCAGTCGACACTTACTTCGATTGATACGCTCTGCTGGGTTTAACTGGAGAGGACTATGGCGGTTCCCGTTGGTGCTTATGCCAACTACTTCAGTCTGCAGTCTTTCTGTGAGGACGAATCAGAGCCGCTCCAGTTGACCGATTGTGTTACGGTTAGCGAAGCCAGTCCTTCCGGGGTCCAAGCAACCATCAGAATCACCTGATCGGGCACTTTTGCCTGAAGTCGCTTGCATTGAGATGAAGTGAACTTAAACATATGTGCCCGTAGACATAGGGCTTCAGTTCAACTGATATCAAAGCACAGGCATCCCTCTGGGATTACCGCAGTACATGACGAAAGCTTGAGATTCTCAACTTGGTTTTTTTATATGATATCATTGATGGTTTGCTATAATTCATGAACTTACTGTTGGTTAATGTCGGCTATATGCAACTGTACCGGGCTAACCATGGAAGACACATTACAGTAGTCCTCTTCTGGAGAACTGGTCCTCAAAGATACCACCCCCCGAAGACGATCACTTTCGACGGATTCTTAAGGTTTCTCTTATACTGAACGCACCGAACCCTTACCTGTGTTCCATCATTTTTATATTTTATCATAGCGAGTGTGTGTGAAGGCACGTTGCTGCTGTCGACCGATGTGCATTCGGAGTTCCAATTAAGACATCCTACTCATGAGTAGGTAAGAGTAATCCCGATAACTGCGGGTGCTCGCTGCGTGTTGAGGATAGGTCACAGGAGTTTGCAGATGAGTAAAGAGAACCCCATGCATCCCTATACATCCGGCGGCTTTCTAATTGATTGCAAGATGATATGAGTAAACTAACGAGAGGAATTTAACTCAGAAGTCAGGCTAGGCCATGTGTCACTAATTTTTACTGGACATACTTGCACTTGACCCGAATTCGGGGAATGCAAGATAACTTTTAAGGAATGTTATCATGCATTCCCCAAATTATGGAAAATTCTTTCATGCGGTTATAATTTGACTTAAACGGTAGGTTTATTTGATCTCCAGCCCCCAACTTAAGAAGTCGGCGTCTCTTCCCTAAAGCGACCTTATCAACTTCATGATAGTTTAGTATTCATGCGTGTTAAAAATTTCGTCTTCTGTTACACAGACAGATGTTGACCTACTTACACAGCTTGCAAAGTAGCTTGAGCAAACAGCTCAACAGCTGTTTGGTTAACAGCCAATAAGAGTACCCAAGCAACCAATATCCCGACACAAGTCTTGTCTTTGGTGGGGTTCACCAAATGAGTAAATTTAGGCGCCAACGAATTGGTAGTCCTTCACAAAACAAAAACTTGCAGAAGCGCTAATTTCTCCCTCTACATCCATAAAGTTACAGCTTACGTCCTTACAACACGGGGAAGAGGATCCAGATTGAGTACACAGGAACGATATGTAGGAGGGTCATTGATGGAACTGAGAGACCATGTTTTTGGTCAGGTGAAAGAGGGGTAAAACAATCGGATACAAAGGTGGCCGAGACTTGGTGGACTTGTTTGCCCGTCCAGGTACAACGAATTCTAGCAAGTAAAAGTTAAACAATGAAGTATGTTATATCTCAATGCGTAGTTGAAATTTTATTCCAGGTACCTCGGTTATCCTGACGAATCTGGTAGATCTTGTCAGTTTTTCATCTAATCACCTTTGTACTCCCCAAATAACATCTATTATGCGAATGCAAGACATAGCGACGTGGGACACTCAACTATCGTTTGCTTTGTAGTACCACAATTACAACAAGAGTGTGCTCAAAACGGCTGTAATTTATGAGATTCAGGGGATTTCGGATGAAATAGCTTAACCAAAACCTGTGCATAAACGGAACGAATTAATATATTGATATTAATATATATTAATAGTAAACGAATTAATAGGCCTCCTCCTTGGGAGGTCGTTGTACAGACGGGCGGGGAATGATGTCTTTGATGGTGTGATCGTCTCTGGAGGAGCTTGCCACAGTGAGCACCTCATTTAATCATTTCAACTGTCCATTCCTGTTGAATGGTCTACCCATAGACAGGAAAATCAGTAATCAAATTGCATGTTTCATTCTCTAAGTAGACCAGAGTAGCGCAGACGATAAACGCACTACTAACTATATGAAGACTTCCACCGAGTAGTTGAATGTCACGTAAACGGTGATCGTATCTTACGCAAAAATATGTACACAAACATAACGCTTGTTTCGAACATTTATGCGGCTGCTAATACCCGTGGAAGTCACCAAGAGAACGAAGGTAATAAACAAAACTTCTTCGTGATTGGCCATCTCGATTAAGATTTCGTGACAAAACTGTGCAAACCGTGGGTGAAAATCGCAGGTACAAAAGACTTGATGGAAGAAAAATGTGTTCTGTTGAATGGGAGGTGGGTTACAGAATCAAGTGAGACGTCGATTTCAGACAGGTATGTAGGACCGTGTATGTCGTAATAACAGAATTCCTAAGCCATCAGGTAACCAGTCCAAACGCAGAGTCACGTTTGAGTCTGCTTCATGTGAAAGGGCTTATTTCCAACTCAAAATTTTTTTGGTTTTGTGATTCATAGATTGCCATGTTTTGAACACGAACCGTCCAGTATATCCGTCTGCAAGAAGGTGCATTCTAAGAACTTTTGTTTCTCTTGTAAACGGTCGGAGGAGCCCATCTTCATTTCTCTCTGTCAGGTCACGGTTCTGGTGTAACGGAACGAACTTATCAAGGTTTGCTTCCTGTGAACTTTCTGTTCCATAGTCCCGTTAGTTTTCTTTTGAATATTGACGTTGAGGAACCTTAGATATTCGATCTGTTCTGGCTCGACAGTAAGCTTAATATTAGTGTGAGCTGAATGGAACCCGTTGATTCTCGTCAAGTACGAATAAATCACCAACAGAGTGAAATATGACAATACTCCTAACGAGAACATAGAGTGTTTATCAACATTCAGACCCCTAAGCTGGTCGAACAACTCAAATCTATCGCTCAAGTGTTTTGACAACCCTGCTCTTCTGATTGGTTCCAATAGCCTGACGAGCCGTTTAGCCAGATGACGTCACGTAGCCGATTCCGTGACCCTTGAACCAGTCCACTTCTCATTCAACTCTCTCCTCTTTTCGTTTCTTTTCATTAAAGAGTATGTACTGGTGATTTCCTCACGAACTTTGTACATCATTTCTGGTATCATATAAGTCTACTTTCTGACGTCCTAGCTAAGAGGCCAATCACAAAGAACCCGATTAGATCGCTATCTCCGCTATTATTTTGGACATTTTTAGCCTTCATCCTCTTACTTTCTTATATTTTTCCGGCACATTTTGCGCATAGCTGACGCACATTCATTTTTTGTTTCCAACCATTTATATAGGCCGCGGTAAGAATTTTCGACCAAATTTTGAACCAGTGCTGCTAGCACGCTGTTATATCTTTGAATACGTGTAATGCTTATTGTTATGAGCTCTGTAAGTCTCCGTTCATCCTCTAGATAAAGGTCCGGCTGATCACTGCTGGCTCATCCTATCCAGGATCACCAGGCAGTTGGGGTTTATCCGCCCAGCTCGCCTAATGAGACGCGGAGTGTGTGAAGGAATATTTAAAGTAGTGAAATACACACATTTGCAAACCACTTTGGTTTTGTGGGAGACTCACCTGGAACCCAGCTGAATCTGTCGTTTATGATGTTTTCAAGCAGCCTTATGAGTAGTGTATTGCGTCTATACACGTATCGGGATATCTGGAACAGCGTACCAACTGAAACATGAAGCAGCCTGGTGCGGCACTCCCAGTAGCTTAAAACATCATAAACGGGAGATCAAGCTGGGTTCCAGGTGAGTCTCCTGCAAAACCAAATTGGTTCGTAATTGAGGGTATTTCGCTAACTTCATGTAATTTAGGTTCAAGTCGAACATAAGGTTGACGGAAAACGGGCTGTGTGTAGCTGATAAGCCCCAAGAAGGGCGGAACCGATCGTGGGTTGTTGGGGAATTTTCAGTAACCTTATGAGTAGTGTATTATTTTATAATATTTAGAGTACTTCTGGCGAAATCATCCTAAAAAAGTTGTCAAACAGGAATTTAATAAAATGGAAGATAAATATCAAATACCCAGCCTGTAGACCGTTAAATGGTCAGCATGGAAAATTCTAGGACACTGCGGAAGTCACAGATACTTGTAGAAATATGTCTGGACAAAACAATATATTAGGGGGGATGAGTCTGTTACTAAATGACACTTCATCACACGGAAATTGAATAAAACTAAGCAGTTCCATTAAATTGTAAGCCTTTCTGAAAGAAAAGTTTTCCAACTTGAGTTGGCTTGAAAACTACATTGAAGACGTCACCAAATAACCACACCTGTTATAGACTGTAAGACAAGTGAATAGGGACATTGATAATGCGTGAAGTTCATCTACGACCATGTTTCAGAGACCATAGGCATACAGATAGTTCGAACTTAGTGGGTAGTCATTGGACAACTATTCACTGGAATCTACCTCATCCATTCCAGCTTTACTACTTCTTTATAGATATACATTGTGCTCCAAAACTGGATTATTAGCACACTAAGGGTCGCTACACGTGGGATATTCAAGGAGCTTCCCAGAATTGCTGAGATTTTTTCTCTGCAGTTGAACACCCAAGTGTGCTGACTGAGGTCATGCACAACAGTAAGCCAAGTCAGACTGGACCGGCGCTCGGTGGGATAAACGCTTGAGCGTAATACGAATGTGAAATCACTTCACAGCGCCAGTCATAAAATGGAATGCTGTACCTCCTCTGATCGTCGGATCCTCGGTGCTGTACATTTTACCACCGTACCACACCTTGAAAAGTTTGACTTCGGGTGCAACATGTTTTCCAACAGCTGACGATAAACGAATCCAAGAATGTATAAGAATACATGTTGAATTCGGATGGCCACTCACGTAGAAAAGAAAACTGCGGATTCATTGTTTGATCTAGATAACCAGTACTCCTCTACCAACCTTCTCTTTAATCCACCATTATTGCTTCGTGTGTAAATTACAAGACAAAGAGCGCTCATGCGCCTGAATAGAGCTGCATTGTAATATGAAATAATTTGCTTGTTTCTACGACGACATCAGGGAGGAGGTAAAATACCACATTAATTTGATTGCTGGACGCTCTGCTTATGTAGTTTGATCTCCATGCATCCACAATAATAGACTAAAACAGAAGATAAATGGGAAACTCCATCTTCTCTCCCTTGTTGTTGAACTTATAGCGCTCTAAGCAAACTTCCTCCCAATCAGTGAAGAGCTTAACACATGGGTCGTCTTAACTGGACTCGACGACACTTCGCGCCACACCTGTATGGTGGACTGACCAACTGCTTTCCAACCTTTTCTGATATTCAACAATGTTTTGTTGTGATATCCGATTGTCGTAGCATTCTAGTTGTTACGGCACATGCGTGATTAGAAAGCCTGATGTCACCCAAACTATCTGGAGTTGCAAGCGTTGTTGACGAACCCGGAGAAAGGAAAACCGCCTGTCTAGCGTAATGTTAGACACATGAATCCCATACAAAAAAGCATGGCCAAAACTTGTCACCGGCACTGAAAGAAAGACAGTGATTTCCCAACCATTACTCCCAATATTTTGGTCAATTATTAAAAGCTGTGTCGAGTACTGAACTGCCTTTCAAGCTTTTTCGAGCAAGCAGTTTTAAGGACAATAAACAATTCTTTGATGAAACTGGTATTTCGTGGTACAATCAATTAAATCCTTCGAAATTTTACTTATTCGACCGTTGACTGACCACGCCCTCAGTGGCGTCACCTGATTCAGATTATCCACAATCCACTATTGTTTTCGAATTCAAAGTTGACCTCAGGCTTCTGTTCAGTGAAGTCCAGAAAAAAGGACATGCACTTTTAAGTCCCACAGTTACCTTCAGGCCTTTAGTTAGGGTCCTTTGGGACATTAATCAAGAAATAAATGCGGAAATTGAGGCCCAAAATGAATTCGGAATATTCAGTTTTCCTTCTTATTCGGGTTCTTAGGATGTTTGGAAAACATGTCTACTCGGGTTCCCATTATGCATAAAATTGGAGGAGATATTTTTGCATGGAAAAAATCACTCGTACGAGAACGGGATGACCAAACCAACCTTGAGTAAGTCCATTTTCCAATAAATGCCAAAGGCACGACTCAAAGAAATAAGAAATCAGAGTGGAATAAGGGGATGAATTTTACCCGATGATGCAAAACTGACCACCAGCGACTTTTACTGGTGATACTGAGTAGCATTAACCATGAAAGAAATGTTCGTACCCCGGCCAGTAAACCGTGAACTACTTTGACATGAGACTGACTTCTAATGGGTTGGACCTGGAATAAACATGCTTAGCTGAAACAAGTCGTCTGAGAACGAATATTAATGTTCACTTGCTCTGTTTGGAAAGCAAGTTCTGTAAAGCTAACAATTCTGGATAGAAACGCGGGAATTTACACCCAGAAGTTAAGGTAAGACATAGTGTGCCCTTAAACACTGAGTCAGTTGTAGGCAGCGTACACACTACGGGTTAATCATCTTGCGGAGCAAAAGTCACGTGTGACCACTAGCTTCCAGGTACACCAGCACGGCATTTCTTCTCCGCTGAACGCGTTTCCTGATCAACAGAAATGAGCGGTATTTCTTTACTCTTCCAATTCAACCACTGTTTGCAGCAGTGTTTTGCCTGCTGTCTATAGCCAGCTCTCAGGTGTTGGCACCATTGGAGGCGTTGTGTTGTTAGACTATCGACCGGTGAAAACAGTGTCCTCGCATCAGGAAAATCAACAAAATTTTCATTAATTGACTGCTGATAACCTGTCTCTTTAAGCAATCTTTTGCGTACTTCTGGTTCTATGACGAGAATCGTCCACACAACGCGGTGAGGAAGGCCCTAGTTTGGAGACGGCACTGAAATTTACGCCTGATACCCGACCTCCTGACGCTGTCGTTTCTTGAGTGTAAACATTATTCCTCTAAAAACAGCAAGTTGTTAACCCGATGCGTATAAGGAATTGGTAGGTGTTCGTTTGCTTGTTCACTGAGCTAGGCTATTTATTTGAAGACATTCCATCACTAGCCGAGGTGACACCATCAGTGCAACCATACCAACAAGCGTCCACGTTAACTGAGTTACTATGATTCTTCTCGATAGCACCAAAACCTCGTGTTTCCACGTTCGCATCACTCTCGTTTGAACATAAATTAATCAGTCAATCAAGCACTCTATCAGCTTTAAACGGGCACAATGTTTCCAGATGCTACACTTTCCATCACCGGATATTGGGAGAGTATGGAACATACAGCCAAGCCTTGGAGACGATGGCATATAGGGTTAGTCTGGGAATTGAAGGCAATGTACAACTGCCATGATTGTGCGATTGGACCATTCCTACCAGTGTCAGTAACCATTGGTGAGTTGAGTCCCGGTGTCCCTATACAGGGGGGCGGCAACTGTCGAACCGACTGAGTATCATCATCATCATCGACAGCATGACATCAGTGTTCAACACCGATGCCTCGCTGCCGTACACTAATCAGTATACCCGAATGAGTATACTGGTTAGTGTATTCAGACTTCCTTGCCATTTCATACAATGTCCACCAGTCGATCGCTTCTACTCTGTACAGGGCTGGGCGAAAAGAGATTTGCAGAGCAGACGGTCTTTTGGCATGTAGAGTACACGCCCTAACCGTTGTAACCTGTGAAAGGTGAGTAATTTATCCATCGCAGGAAAGTTCCTAATTCCTAGGACCATCTGAGGCTACCTCAAGATTACTGATCCGAGGTTTCCACCAGACCTGACCAATGTTTCGGAGACGCCGATAGCCAATGACAGCTTTCGAATGTTTTCTGTCATGTTTCCGATCCGTTAAGCAGTACGGATTGCAGTGCCGCAATGTGAACCCTGTCCTTAACAGTCAAAGTAACGTCATCTCGGCGCCATGGTTGTTGGAGGTTGGCAAAAGCTGCCCTGGCGTTTCTGATTCAAGAGGTCATTTCATCCATAGCCGGTCCACCGCAACTTATACAACTGCTCAGGTGAACGAATTTATACACCACATCGATTGTCTTGTCTGTAAACATGAGGTTTGGGTTTGATTTAGCAGCACTTCACACTGCATGTGTGTAGCGCATGCCAAACCGTGCGGCAGAGTTATGTACGTTATTTAAAACGGCTTGTACTTTTGAAGGATTTGAAACAAGAATAGCAATATCGTCCTAACACTCAATATCTGTAATGGAACGTCTTACACCACTGTACATGGCGTAAGGCGAGGGGTTGCCGTACAATCGTAGCAGTTTGCGTACAATGCTCTCATGAAAGATTAAATTTAGAAAGGAACCTCTTTGACTGCCAGAAAACACCAGAGTTCCTCACCATCGACAGAATCAAAAGCAGCAGTCAGATCAAGAAAAAACGACCAGCGCGGGACGATTGAAGCAGTGCCGCTGTTCAAGAATTTGTCTCAACGTGCAGGTGAACGAATTTATACACCACATCGATTGTCTTGTCTGTAAACATGAGGTTTGGGTTTGATTTAGCAGCACTTCACACTGCATGTGTGTAGCGCATGCCAAACCGTGCGGCAGAGTTATGTACGTTATTTAAAACGGCTTGTACTTTTGAAGGATTTGAAACAAGAATAGCAATATCGTCCTAACACTCAATATCTGTAATGGAACGTCTTACACCACTGTACATGGCGTAAGGCGAGGGGTTGCCGTACAATCGTAGCAGTTTGCGTACAATGCTCTCATGAAAGATTAAATTTAGAAAGGAACCTCTTTGACTGCCAGAAAA